CCTCAGGGAGGGCCACCTGGTTCCAGGCACCCACTGACCTTGCACTCGTGCAACTCGTCCCAGCGGGCAGGCACACATCTTAGCCCCAACGCCTGAGAGGGGACGGAGACCTGAGGGGGGACGTGGGCAGGCAGGGGCGGAAGGGTGAAGCCTGTCTGTGTCCCGGCTGGTTTCCCCGTCTCGGTCAAGAACTGAGGCTGTCCCTGTCCACGCCGTGTCCAGTCCTCCACAGGCCAGTGTCCGAGTGGAAAGTGGAAAGGTCAGTCCATCACCCCAGGGGTTCACCATCCCACCGTCGGGGTGTGGGGGGCAGCGTCCTGACTCGCGGGGTCTCTACTCAGGCGTGTGTATATGCGTGTGTACAAGGCGGGTTGTACTTTGTCTACTTGTGTGTCCTATGTGGATATGTGCTGTGTTAAATAAACACACTAAGTGCTTCACGACATGCCTCCTCCGCCTACTAACTTTTAAGCTTTGTAGGGGTGACAGCTGCGTCTGTATCTTGCTCCTACCTGTAGCCGGCCTCTCCCCCAGAGGGACTCAGGACGGGTGTTCGGAACTGAGTCAACCCGCCGGGTGGGTGAGGCCGGTCTGTGCCAGAAGCCAGTGAGGCCCTTCCCGGTCCTTCCGGCCCCAGTCCCCTTTCACGGCCCGTGTCTCCCGCCCACCGTGTTCCAGCCACTACGCCGTCACCCCAGACAGGGTGATCTGCTCGCACTCCGAGTTTCCTCCTCCGGCCTGTCCTCCCCACCGGTGTGCTGGCGTCCTCACCTGTCCAAGCTCAGCTCCAATGTCACCTCCGCCAGGACGCCGCCTCCCCCTCCACGTGGCCCCTACAGACTCCACAAGCACCTTCCCCGAAGCCCGTTCCTGCCACCCGAGTGCTGACCAGCCTCTTCTCACCAGGGGGGCTCGCTCTCTCTGGGGAAGGCTGGTATTTCCAGAATGCAGTGTGGCCGGAAAATGCCACCACTAAAGCCTTATTTTATTTCATGGTGGGGGAACTCAAGGCAGAAGAGTAAGGACTCAGGGACACACGGTCTTGGTCAGAAGTAGAAGCAAGATAAGCTTCTCTCCGGATTCTAACGGGGCTCCTGGCGCGATTCGAGGGAGGGGGAGGAAGGGGCCTGAGTAGGTTTCCCGGTCGGTGACGCCGCCGGAACACGGAGAGAAACACGTGGCGGGTGCCCGGACGGGGGGGCAGTGAGCACGAGGGGAGGCGGTGTTGACTGTGGCTGTGGGCACCTCGGGGGGATGGCAGGACCCACCCGAAGGCTCCTCCCTCTGACGCCCCATCACTTGGCCATTTTCCGAGACCCCTGGGCCACGGGCTGAAGAGGGAAACCAGGCGGGGGGTGGGGGAGGGGGCGGAAACTAGACAGAAGGCCACCACTGAGAAAACAGAGGGATGTTTCTGACCGAGCCGCGTCTCCAAACTGCAACGCATGCTCAGTCCTCTGGCCCAGAGACTGGTCCAGAGTTAGTTCTTCAGAAGCTTGTCTGGACCATCGAGCAGAGGAACGAACAAACAGTCCACCTCGATTTGTCTCCAGGCAGGACCGGCTGGCCTGAGGCTTTGGGAAGGTTTATGTCCCGGCTCTGACTTCGGAAGAGGACCGAGCCTCCTCAGGCGCCACTCCCTCCTGGTTCTGCCTTCTCCCCAAAGTGGCGGACGGCTGGAGGAAGCCTTCTTCCCGTCGCAGGAGACGAGATCATTCGGTTCTAACCCCCATCGCGCCTGGGTCCCCAGCACACCGGTGACCACTGTCAGACTTTGTCCAAATGACAGCTTGGACCCAGAATGAAGAGACGATACCTGGCCAGCGGGGGGCGTGGGACCCGTAGCCCAGCCTCCCCTGATGTGTGCGTGTCTATGCAGGTGTACAGAGTGTACGCACACGCCTCGTGTGTCAAGGATGTGTGCACGCATGTGTACACTGATGAACAACGGGACATTTAAAGTTGCCCCGGCGGCTCTGTGTGGGGCAGGCAGGAAACAGTGTGCAGACCGTGGAACATCCTCCCACAGGGCACTGGCGTCGGACCCCACAGGGGTCGGGTGCCCGAGCACAGACGGGCACCTTCAGAGAAGCCTGTGGGACGAGGCGGACAAAGAAGCCACCCTGACCCCTCTCTCCGAGGGAGGAGACGACCCGGCCCCAGCGTCTGTGGCCTCAGACCACCTGTGGGCTCCAGCGCGGCCAGGCGGCCCTCCCGCCTGCTGCTGGCTCCCACTCCCGAGCAGCACCCTGCGTGGGACTCCCACCTGGAGGGGAAGGGGGCTTCGATTTCTCTGCAACCTGACAGGCTTTGTGTATCTGGATTTGATTGGACTGGACATCAAGGAAACACAAAACAAAGGTAACTTTAAAAAACATGTTTATTTCTCTCTCAGACGTTACGTTCGGACAGAGATAGTTCGGGGCTAGAGCGGCGGCTGGGCTCTTGGAAATCCTCGGGAACCCAGGCTGCTTCCACGTGGTTCCACCATGTGCAGCCTCCACTCACAAGTTCACCTCACGACCTCAGAGAGTTGCTCCAGCTCCAGCCATCATATCTACATTCCAGCCAGGAAGGGAAAAGGGATCCAGGAAAGGCGGAAGGGGCTCTCTCACTGGTCAGGACGTGGTCCGAGGAGCACCCTGAGCTGTGTGGGCCTTGAGGACTACAGGCTTTATTCCAAGCAGCCTCGTGCTGGCCAAAATGGGAGGGTGTTGTTTTAAGAAGAGAATAGATCAAGGGGACCCACCAGCAGAAAATCACTGGTGACACACTCCTGTCCCCAGCACCGTCAGGCAATGCTCTGCCCCCACCAGAATGCTCTCCACTCGCTGGCCCGTCCCCGGCGCCCTCTCCTCCGCACTTCGCCCAGCCTGGTCCTTTGCCTGGGGAAGTCCTCCCTGCTCTCCGACAATCTCCGAAGTCTCAGCTCACGCCCCTGCATCTTGGCGAAGCCCCTTCTGCCCTTTTCCCAGAGGACCACGCCCTCTACTGATGCCCAGAGCTGTGTCTACACCAGCAATCTGACACTGGCATGCAGGTCAAGTTCATCTGTACATCTTTACTTTCATCTAGACTGTGAGCTCCTTGCAGGCAGAAAAGATGGTGTGACTTCTCCGTGTCCCTCGCAGCGGTACCTGGGTGTGTGTGAGTTCCCAGACGTCTACGCACCGGCCACTCCGAAGTCGGGGGTCAGGGGGACGGGCAGGAGGCGGAGCGCCGGCGCAAAGGCAGGAGCAGCTCACCTCTGCGACCTGGAGCCAGATTTCTCTGAGCGACAGGTCTCTCCTCTACAACGTGAGGACGTCACATGCAGAGGGTTGTCCTAGGGACCTCACACCCTGACACACGCACACACTCACACTCACTCGTGCACACACACTCACTCACACTGTCCCATGTCCACTCACCAAGTGGGGTGGGCTTTCTTCTCGGCTCCCAGAAATTACTAACTGGAGCTCAAGTGCCACTCAGTACAGACCCTGGCCTAGCAGAGCAGGGTGGGGACGAACCACTGGGGCTGAGGCTGCGGTGACTGGTGACGTCCCCGGGAGGGAGGCCAGGCCCACCCCATACCTGTCGGAGGAGCCCCAGCTGACCCCCGACTCCCCATCCGCCCCTTCTGGGTTCTCGGGCTCCAGACCCATTAGTTCCCCTGTCTGGGAACCACATGGGGATGGGGGCACCTGTCTCCGGGCACAGTGGCAGCTGGGTCGTCTGTGCTCAGCGGGGAGAAGGGAGCCAGAAGGAGGACCCTGGTCCCGACCTGTACCCTGTGCCTCTGTCCCCAGACACAGGCCCTCGGGACAGGGGCCCGCGCCCCCTTTACAAACAATACAGACAGCACGGACCTCAGGCTTCCTGGCCACATGCACCGGGGCCCGCTCCGTCTCTTTTTAGTTTTTCTTTTTACAACCGTTTGAAACTGTGGAAAACCCCATTAGAGGCCCGGCATGGACAGGCAGTGGCTCACCGCCCTGGTCTGGAGCACCGCCACCCTCCTCCGGCCCCTCAGCCACAGCCTCCGCCCCCGAAGGACTCGGCGTCCCCTGGGCGGCCCAGGCTTCCCCTCAGGGGCCTCGGGGGCAGAAGCTGTCCGGCCGTGAGGCCAGCTCGGCCAAGTGACCGGTCTGGTTGTGTTTAAACACACCTCAGGTGCCCGTCTCAGCCCCGCTCCTGCATCCTGGGGGCGAACGCAGCCTCGGCGCCCCCTAGTGAGGTGGTGCACACTCTCAGCCTCACCTCCCCCCGACCTGCCAACGGTGACACTCGGGAGCCGACCCGGCGTGCCTGGCGCCACCAGCAACCATGTGTCAGAGTTTAAAAGAAAGTTGAAGCGTCTGTAGGCTTGACGCTTCCTAGGAGCATAAGTGAGGACTGTTCTGCCCCCCAGGCCCGGTGCTTCGACCCCAACGAGGGCGAAAGCCCACGAGAGCGCCCTGCCGGCCCCCGCCCTCGGTGACACCCCGGGGAGCAGCCCCCTCCGCCCTGCCGACGAGTCTCTTCCAACTCAAAATAAAGTTTATAAAAGTAAATCATCTCATTTTATAACTTAAGTGCATCAAGCATTTCCTTAAATATAGCTCACACTGAAAATAAAGTTCCTTTGCTGTACAGAGGCTGTGTCATAATTAGGAATAGACTCTGACGATAAAGTAAGAAAGGTAACACTCACACACACATCTACCTGTCTGTCTGTCTGTCTGTGGGCTGTCCGCATGAAGAGACGTAGGCACCGCCGGACAAGAGCTCCCCCGGGGGGTGGGAAGGTGTTAGGGGTCTCTGGGTGTCTCGTCTGCGTGACAACGTCTGTCACACGCCCCGTCCCCAGTGGTAAACGACCTGTACACCTAACGCTAGGACTCCCATGAGAAACGTTACAACTACGCGACCCGACACGCGGCCAGTCTTTGGCAATGCCGACCTACCCCAGAGCACCACACAACAGCACCCGACAAGACGCACCCCCCGCCCGCCCACCTCTTCCCGGCCTCCCCGTCCCAAAGCCAGCCGACCCCTCCTGTCCTGGGCCTTCCAGTCGGGGCCTGGCCATCGGGCTTTCGGGGACAGCTCACGAGGTGAAGTAGGAACTCTGCATGGAGTACAGGTGGTCAATGGGGTTCCCCACGCGGGGCTGCAGGGGCCCGGCCTCTGAGGTTGCCAGGAAACAGTCACCCAGGTTACTGAGGGAGGCGTCGTCGCTGTCCAGGTCGTGGAAAAGGGGCTCGGCACCTGAAATGGAGATGAAACACGGGCCTGAGCATCTGCGAGCGGGGACGCACCTCAGGGCCGGGGCCTTGGCAGCGACGGGCGAGGGTGGCCTTCTGGTGGGGGGTGGGGGCGCAGGGGGGGCTGCACAGAACAGGAGGCGGGAACACAGTCCCTGTCCGGAGAGAGCTCTGGTCTCCACAGGGGCTTGTGTCTGCAAGTGCCAACAGCTGCGAACACAGTGAAGCGGCCGGTGTAGATGGCAGAGCGTCGAGACAGCAGGTGCAGGGTGGGGGCCCTCGGGGTAAACCAGGCCCTCGGGGGGGGGGGGGCTCCGCCACCAGGTGGTTCTCCGAGGAGGCAGGCGAGGAAGTGAAGGTGGGCTCTGGGAACGAGAGCCGGTGCCATCCTGTGACCTCAGGTGCACTCAGCTGCACCGCCTGCCTCGGCTTCCTGAACCTGTCCTGCAGCCAGGAGGGGGGGCACCCGCCCCTGCCTCCCCAGCACCCCTGGCGGAGGGCCCACTGGGGTCCACCTCAGGTGCGTGCCCTTCACCACCACTTCGGGGACATGGGACAGGTGGAAACTGCAGTTTACTTGGCGTGTTGCGTGGCTTTAATGATCCCTTTCACTACAGAATTCCTCATGGGGACCTTTATATCACAAGACCCTGGGACTCTGAAAATCTAAGAGTTGGCCAAAAAAAAAAAGCCATCTGCCCTGTTTCCCCACAGCTGTGAGACGTGTGCCCGAGGGCAGCAAGTGTCCCCAGAGGAACCTGCGATTGGGGCGTCTGCAAGGCCCTGCCGGGGTGGGGGGGGCAGGTCTTCCCCGGGCTTCGCTGGCGGCCCCACAGGGGAGGTGAGGGCCCACTTGGGCAGCAAAGGGGATTCTGTCAATAAAGACACAAAAGGAGCCGTCTGGCCCGATCTGTGAGCTCAGGCGCCCGCCTCAGGCGTGCATGCTCTGGAGGCCTGGTCGGAGTCCGTACAACACGGGGCACCCTGCACTTGGCCCCACGGTGGCACTTTGGCTGCCCGCTGCAGAATTCGCCCACCCTGGCGGGGGGCCAGGCCCGGCCTGCTGACAGATAGAGAGGCTCAGCTTCCCGTGCACCAGCGCTGAAGGCGGCCCCTGTGTCAGCGGGTGGGCGTGGGGAGGGGGACCTTTTCGATTCACCAGGACACAGGTGACAGCCCCTCGGTGGCGGCCCTAACAGTCCCGTTAGAGCACCGTTTTCTGGGCATCTGTACTTTCCCTCCCACGAAGGCTCACTCACTGGGCCCGGCCGCCTAGCCCGTGCCGACCTCGTACCTCTCCAAAAGGGAAGACAGGGATTCAGCCCCGGCAGGCAGGCGGCCAGCAGCGGGAGCACCGCCTCCCTCCAGCTTCAAACTAACGCAGATGCGGCTTTGAAAGGAGAGTGAGGGCAGCCACCCCCCCAGTGAACTCGTGCAGTGGGGGCAGGTGGTGCCACAGCATTTCGTGGGCACTCGCAGGCCCGGCAGCCTCCCGGAGCACCTGGGAACTGGCCGAGGTGTTTGGGAGGAAAAGAGAGACCACACCAGCGAGTTGGGAGAGGTCCCTGTGGGCCGGCGGGCCACCTGGGAGACTGGAGCGAGCGGGCGAACTTGGGATGTGTCGTTAAAACACAGGTGAGCCTCACCAAGGGTCACCCTGCAGGGCGGTGACTGTTTTTGGTGCATGGCTTCGGCCAGGACGTTTTACTCACTGGGCCTTGCTTCCTCATTTACAGATCGACAGGGACAGGGACAGGGATGAGGGGACACTGTGGGCGCCAGCCCAGGTCCCGCCACAGGTGGCGTCTTACCATAGGGGTGCATGTGGTCCCCCGGCATCTGGGGCGGGGTGAGGCCCTGCCGGAAGGGGTCCGCGCCGTAGACGCCCTGCTCGATGGCCAGCAGCTGCTGTGGGGTGGGCAGGGCCGTGTAGGGGTTCATGATGGCCTCCAGCCCCGAGCCTCCGCCGCCGTTCGTCTGAGCTGCAGGACAGAGGAGGCGGCAGGTCACTCTCCACGCTCAGCCCAGTGGCCCGGGGCGGTCTGTGTGCAGGTGATGACCAGAGAAGCCCTGTTTCAGGAGCGAACGGCCCTTCCAGGGAATCTGCCAGGCAGGTGGCTGAGGTGGGGCCTGAAGCCCAACAGTGACCTCCTTCCGATGTCCTTGTGCTTGGCTTCCTTCCTTCGAACTTCCTTGAAGACGCCTGTCCCGCCTCCCTCCCCAACCCTCACTCCCCCTCTGCTAACAGCGAGGGCGGGGTGCGCTCACGCGGCGTGGCCCCGTGGAACCGCCGATCAGAGAGCGGCCTCTCGGGCCCAGCTTGGTGCCCTCCCCGCCTGGGACACTGGTCTACCTGTCAGAGCCTGTCACAACTCCTCTGTTCCCTCGGGGGCAGGCAACGGAGAGGACGGGCCAGCAGGAGTGAGAGCAGGAGATGGTTTACTACTGCTACTGTCGCCGTTTTACGTCATTTCAGCAAGGGCTAAGTGACAGCGGGGTCTTCCGGGAGTTGATTTGCCCAGAGGACGGAGGACCGGGCAGGAGGGGGCACGGCGGGTGGTCCTGACGCTGTCCCCTGACACTGCCCAGGGTTGGGGGCCCCCCGCCCCCCGAAGGCGGCCCCAGGCCTGCCTGCAGCCATGTCACAGCTCCTGGGGCTCAGGTGCCACCAGAAGGTCCCCATCCCACGCGGGTGTCGTCCTGAGAGCTGGGCAGCGGAGGCTACGGCCGGTGGGAGGAGCCGCACTCACCGGAGCTCAGCCTCTGGCTGGACTGCTGGTCTTGCTGCTGCTGCTGCCGCCGGGCCAGCTTCTTCATCTGATGGGGAAAGGACTGCAGGTTAGGGGGGGCTTGCCACGGGCTCAGGCCCCACGGGCAAGCAGCAGGGCTGCGTCTCCGGCAGTGACTCCGAGGGAGCCACGCCCGGAGCTCCACACATCCTGCCTTTGCCATCGCCGTGGACTGACGGCCGGCTGGGCAGCAATGGTGTCCTGCAGGAGCGGGGATTTCCTCTCCGGGGATAAGGCTGCTTGTGGTGTGACAGTTCCACGTGAGGCACAGGTGTGGGGAGGGGCCTGCAGCCGGGCAGGGGGCTGCCTGCCCGCAGGGTGTGACCTGGGGCGAGCCCAGAGGCTGTGCCCACGCCCCTGCCCACTCGCCGGCCCCTGAGTCTGAGGACCCACCGGGAGAGTCAGGCCTCTGGGTCTGGAGCTTGTCTCCCAAAGGCCACGTGAGTACCACATACTTCCTGGGAGGGGCCTTGTCACCCAGCAGGTTTCAAACTGGGTCCCTCGGAATGCTGGGGGTGCCACGAGAGGGCGACATGCACCCACGCCGAGGGTGCGGGCAACACCAGGTTAAAGAAATCCTTTACTGCGAGGCTTCTCGGAGTTCCGGATGCGCTCCACGGCCGCAGCGCCCCCCACACCCCCTGACCCGTGAAACCCTTTCCCAGAAGGAACCACTGAAGACGGTGAACCAATGGCCGTGCTCTGAGGACTTTAGTCAGGGACATGCTCCCAGAAACGAGTGTGACCAAATCGGGAGCCGTTCTTTTGTCGCCCACGGAAGGTCAGGCTCTGAGCGGTGGGTCACAGGACACATGCATGGTGAGGTCTAAGGTGAGGCCCTGGGCAGGGGACGGCAGGTGACAATGAGGAGGATTGGCCCTCCCCCAGGGGGTGGGGAGATGTGGCCCGGGAGAGGCGCGCGTGGGGCCACGGCGCTGTCATAGCACAGTCACGCGTGTTTGGAATTTCAAAAGAACTTGGGATCTGGGTTAAACTCATGTCACTTGAAGAACCAGCTTTCACCAGAAGGCCCAGAAAACACATTTATTCATCAGGTGGCTGGCCAGGTTCACAGTCACGGCCACTGGGAAAATAAAAGCAATTTCACCAAAACCACACAGCGCCGTGCGGGAAGGCACTGCTGGTAACAGAACTTCTGCATCAGGAGAAATCTCTGTCTCGTGAACTCCAGTCAGAGGGCCCGTCAGCACACATGACGTCCCCCCACTTGTGTTCCAGGGACCCGGCCACCCAGACGGGGATGGAAGTGCGCAGCGGACCCACCTTCGCTCGCTGGTTCTGGAACCACACCTGCACCACGCGGACGCTCAGCCCTGTCTCCGCAGCCAGCGTCTCCCTCACCTTGAAAGACACGGACCGTTAGAAATGGGGTGTCTCGGCGTCTGGGCAGAGCCCCGTGTCCCCAGAGCATGGGACATCCCCAGCCCACTTCTTGGGTCTCACACACAGGACACCCTGAGAACGTCACAGTAGTCGGCGCGGGGAGCGGGCCCTCCGCCAGGCAGACAGACCAGGAATAGCTGCCACGTTACACCCGGACTCCAGGGGGTGGGCTGGCACCCCTGGCTCTGGCAGTCGGCCTTCAGTTACCTCCCCGGCGTTGGCAAGCCCACTGTGCGCCAGCCCAGCGCCGTGCATGTGCATGACCCCCCTCAGGGGAAGTCGGGGTGAAGGTCAGCAAGCAAAATGACAGGGGTCCCCCTGCCCCCGTCTCCTGGTTGCTTCATTGACCTCGATCAGGGGCCCCGACGAGGAGCCGTGTTCAAACACTCACCCTCCCTGCGGACACACAGCGAGCGGTTGATAAATGGCAGGTTCTTAATAAATAGACGCAGCCGCCTGGGGCGGAGACTGCGAACTGCTTCCCCGTACCCCCCCTCCCCTTCCCCCCACCGGCCATCGATTCCCCAAGCTTCCGAGGGGCACTTGGTCACCCAGGCAGACCCCCTTCCCTGCCCCCCGCAGGAGGCTCAGTTGTGGGAATAAATTTTGGCCAAAACATATGAATGAAAGTGATGCAAAGACTCCTGGGTTTGCCCTAAAAGAGGCAGCTGCCTGCCTCGCTCTTCCTCTTTCTCCGCCTCGGTGGCTGCAGGCAGTGGTGACGACAAAGCCACCCCGGGCCCAGGTGAGGGGCCACAGAGGGACCCGGCAGTCCAGGACTGTCGCCTCCGGACCAGGACACACCCGAGAAATAAACCCACTGCATCAAACCGCTGTGTGTTCTTCCAGGAAAATTCACGGAGGCCTGGTCCGTAGCCACTCCAAGTTGGGAACAGCCCACAGCCCCACGGACGGGCGGCTGAACAAGCCAGCGTGGCCCTCGCAGACGGCAGGACAGCACTCAACAGCCAAAACGGAGGCAGTGCACGTGGGCGAGTCCCCAGGCCACCTCCCGGAGAGGGACAAACAGGACCAAGAACGAGCGCACGCCACGAGCCACCACAGCGTGACTCTGCCGCAGCACCACAGCCCACCCAGGTGGCACCGGGTACTGTCCCCACTGCTCTCCAGAAGTGACGCTGTGAGCGTGCGGCCAACGGACTGGGGACACCCACGCAAAGCTCGGGGAGGTTCTGCTGGAGCCCTGGCCACGGCCGCAGGCCCCTGGAGCGTCCCGCCAGGCTCCAGGCCACCCAGCACCCTGAGCCCAGGGGGCCATCCGTGGACACCCCAGGAACTGAGTGACCCCGCAGAAGGGGCCTGGCCCTCCCCTCCTCCCCCTGCCCCCACCTTTCTGCATGGCTTGGAGGACACCTCGAACGAGGCCTTGAACGCTCTCCTCTGCTGGGTGGTCAGGATGGTCCTGGGACGCTTGGGGCGCTTGTGGTCCTTGCCGTCCTCTGCGCTGCCCTTCGCCGCCCCGTGGGTGGACTTGCAGAGACTCTCCTCATCGTCACTTTTGCCTGAAAGAAGCAGAGACCATGGTGTCGAGTCCCTCGGCCATTGCCAGTCACTGAGCAGCCACGTAAGAGGTGAGCAGCCACCTCGTTTTACCGCCAAGGACACAGCTGCTGGTCTCGGGAACTTGGGACGTCCAGTCTGAGCGCGAAGGGACCCTAACCTGTGAGTCATTGAGGGTGCGACCCTCTCGGTGGGACGGCAGCAAAGACAAACACACAAAATCCTTCAGGGTCTCTCTGGAAGGGCCTCTTCAGGACGGCAAGGAAAAAATAAGCACTGAAAACTGCCAGGATGTAAGAGGACCCACAAGAGGAGAGGGCACAGAAGCCACCGACTCACAGATGCACCCTTTCTGCGCCCCGAGCCCCATCCTCGGTGAGAACAAGGGTTCTCTCCACTGGTGGGCTCCTCAGGGTTGAAAGGACGCCCTGGAGCACCAGGGATGCCTTCGGTGGCAGGTCTGTGGCTGACACCACACCGAAGGACCCTGCCAGGCAGGGGCAACAAGGGGCTGCAAGGGGCTCAGACGGGTGGGCATCCAAAGTACAGAGCGGGTTTCACGTGCAGCTGTCTGCGTTCAGAAACCTCACGCCTTGTCCCAGCTTTGTCCACAACGCGGCACCTGCCAGCGATCCGGAGTCGGCCGGTTCTCTCAGCCCCCATCCTGTGACCTGACGTGAGCACACAGGGGTCACGAGCGAGGGTGGGAAGTCCAAAAGAATGCCAGAGTCCGGGACACAGCTCGCCGGCGGGAACGCCACTTGGATGGAAAGCAACGTGGCGTCTGCAGCCACCGGCTTTGCAGTCCCACGGACTCAGCCTCACTTCCGGGAATGGTCCATGATCACCTGAGACTGTGGACGAATTCTCAAGACCCCGCGTGCTCACTGGGGCAAGAAACGGTGTGGCTGGAACCAATAGGATGACGTGTGTAAAGGGTTTGGCACCGTGGGGATGTGGGAGGTGCTTCGTGAATTGCCACCACCATCGTCACCATCGTCACTTCCACATAAGAGAAATAATGAAGTTCTGCCCCGAGACACGTTTCTGTTCATCATGGCGGCCCGTGTCCAAGTTCAGACTTTTCTCTCCAGGGTGGACATGACCCTGGGCAATGCTGGGGGCTGCTCTGCAGTGCAGGAGTGTGTGGGCTTGTGAGGAGGAAGAGGAAGAGGTGAGGGGGACGCTTCCAGAAGGGAGACTCCACGGCTGAGTCGGCTCAGAGCCCAGAGGCAGGATGGCTGAGCGCCTGCCCTCAGCTTGCCTGGGAGAGACACTCAGTCCCCAAGATGGAACTTGGGTGGGGACCCCCTGTCCTGGGCTTGCCCTTGGTGTGCGTTTTTGAGGGGCCACAGGTGGATGCTCACGCACTTTCTCACCTGCCCTAAAAAGAGAGAGGTGACGGCATTTGTTCTCAGGATGGGTGGGGGAGGGGCAGGAGGAAGGGCGCCACCCTAGACACCTGCTGACCGCTGCTGACCCTTGGCCCCTTCTCCCAGGAAGCACCACTCGTCATGGACACAGAGGGTCAACGACTGGAGAACTCGGCATTCACTCCCACAGTCGGTAACACGTTGGACAGAAGATGCCTCCGGCCTCACAGCCCCCACTGTGGAAGGCCAGGGGTCCTGGCTGATCTGACCGAGCGAGAGGCTGGCGGTGGCCTGACCCAGCTGCCGAGGGGAAGGCAGGCCACTGGCTGCTACCTCCTGGCGTCTGTCCCCTGTGCCGGACACGTCGAGGGCACAGCGGTGCCCTCTGCCCGCCCCGGGAGCTCCCAGGCTGAGCGGGAAGTCCCCCAGACTGTGGCCTTCTCCACGCCCGACTCCGATGCCCACTTCTCCAGGAAAATGGCCAGTGTCCAAAACACACAAATCCCTCTGCCCACCACGAGGAAAGTCCGCAGAGACCCGGAGATTCCCCGGAACCAGCAGGAGGATGGGCGAGAAGAGAGAGGAGCGCCTTCAAAGGGCAGGGACGGGCGGGGCGGGAGGGGCGGCCCCTCTCGGGTGGAGGCAGCCCAGCGAGCCCTCGTAATTTAAGCTGACACCCTCTGCAAAGGCGAAAGCACCCCTCGCGTCTCCCACTCCAAACGTCAGTGTCCCCGGAGGCCACTTGGACACAAACTCAGCCTCCCTCTGGCTCCTGAAGTGACCTGCAGAGATGCCGGCTGGAAGGAAATAAATTTACTCGGCACAGACTTGGAAAGATGGCTCTCGGGGCCATTCTTTCCCCCTTTTTTTGTGCAAAAAAATAAAATAAAGCCTGGATCAGTTCAGGGCTGCTGCTCCCCACACTGGGCCTCCCACCCGGGCCTCCCACCCGTGCACGACGTCAACAACCACAGATGAAAGGCCCAGACATGGTTTATGGCCGAGAGGGGCTGAGCTGCCCGTGGGGCCACACAGACTCATGTCAGGGGCTGGAAGACTCCCAGCGGCCCAGGAACCAGGCCGGAGAGATCTGAGGGAGGCGTGGGCGCGGGAGAGGCAGGAGCAGGCCTCCCACGCTCCTCGGTGCGGAGCCTGTGAACATCCTGGGGGCCAGGGGAGTAGAGGAAGGGGCTCCTGTGGGGGCTGGGGGGGCGCTGGGAGACGGGTGCGGAGGCAGCTGCTCCGGTCCCTGCCCTGCGGCTCGGAGTCCGCTCTCCCGGACACCGTGGGCAGCCCCAGGGCCAGGCCGTGTCTCCAGCCCTCGGGCGGTGAGTGGGACACCGCAGACAGCCGAGTCCCGCAGTTCTGAAACGGCCAGACACGGTCCTTCGGGGGGTCTCCACTGGACTCCAGCCAGGTCCCTCCGATGTGACAGGGACGTGTTCATTTGGCCACTCGCTCAGGAAGCCAGTGTTGGGGCTCACGGGCCAGTTGTGGCACAAGCACAGGCTGGGACAGAGGGATGGTGACATGTGTCCACCTGTGCCCTCATGGAGTCCCAGCTACTAGAGGACCAGGCAGGGCACTGGGGGGGGGTGACACAGGGCAGGTGTCCCTAGATTTAAAAATGAATGACACGGCCCTGACTGGTGTGGCTCAGAGGATTGAGCACCGGACTGCAAAGCAAAGGGTCACTGGTTCGATTCCCAGTCAGGGCACATGCCTGGGCTGCATGCCAGGTCCCCAGTAGGGGGCGCACAAGAGGCAACCACACATTGATGTTTCTCTCCCTCTCTTTCTCCCTCCCTTCCCCTTTCTCTAAAAATAAGTAAATAACATTCTCAGGAGCATTTTGTGTGAAGACAAAAGAGTTTCTAAGGACCGGGAGCAGTTTGTTCATCTACAAGGCGACATGAATATTCCCATGCTTACCCAACACTGGACATGGCACCATTCCACAGGTGCACTGTTTCCATGACAACGAGATGAGGCAGGAAATGGGTCACTAGCCTTTTTTCACAGATGAGTAAACTGAGGCCCAGGGATGGGGTGACCTCTTGCCCCAGGGCAAAGACCTGGGAGCTCTGTCTCCCCCCCCACCCCCTGCCCACCGGACCTGCCCCGTCCCGTGGGGTTGTTGTGAAGATCCAGAATTTCAGGGGCTGCCCAATGGGGGGCATTGTCGGTCTTTAATTAAAGTCCCCAACCCCTGAACTGGTGGAGACCACAGTGCCCAGAGCCTGTCGGGAGAAAGATGCCTCCGTGCAGCCTTGACCACCATGCCCGGGTGTCAGCGCCCAGCTGAGGGAGGGGCGGTGGGTCAGAGCCAGCTCAGAGGTCCAGGCAGGCCCCCAGGGACCTGGCTCCACTCGGGAGCGCGGGTTTCCCGCCACGGCTGGGACACTTGTCTGTCCCCAGCTTGCTGCCCCTCAGAAAAGGAACTCTTCTGTGCAAACGGGCCGCATGCTAGCATGCACACGCATGCACAATGCACACACACGCAAGCTCATACACATGCACGCCCATGCACTTGCACACAGTTTTTATACGCGTGCCCTCCATATCTTCTCCTCCCGGAGTTTTCCTACCGCTTCCTCCTTCCCCATTTCAAAGACAACACGGCCGCACGCAACTCAGACTGACAAGCACGGTGCAAAGGCCGACTGTCCCCAGGCACTGGTGCATTGTAGACCGGAAATGCCCATCACCGGATGTCAGAAAACCCGTGTCAGTAGCAGAGCCTGGAGCAGATCCCTATCCCTGTCCCTTCCCCCCAAGTTCAGGGCTTTCTTTTACACTTTGCTCCCCGACTAAACTAGGCCACGATGCCTGCTGTCTCCCCAATTCAAAAGGAGGCCCCCAAGGACTTCAAATAAATGTTGATTTTTAAATCGTCCACCCACCATTTTAGATGTCCCTATTTTCCACCAGAGTACAGGGTTGCCTAGCTCATGTGTCTTTCCTGGGACTCAGATTCCATCTGTGTGTCCCCTGGGGGCTGCGTCTGTCTGGGATCAGCCAATGGGAGGTGTCCACAAGGAAGTCCAAGGGGAGGGAGAGACTAAGACATCTCCGTGACCTCCCTCAGCCTTGGGTGGTCTCTGTGGCTGAAGCTGCTACTCCCCTGGGTCTCCAAGTCACACCTCGAAAGCCCACTGAAGTTGCAGCTTGCCCCTGGTGTCCCCAAAGGTGACGTCACCTGTCAGGCAGCAGCTTCCCCTTACAGAGTTGGGACAGGTCTCAGCACCTGATCTGTTTGCATCTCAACAACCTCATTGGCCGTGTAACCAACTCTCAGTATTAAACCCTCCCTGTTTCAAATGCCAGCGGTTTGTTCTGCCTCCTGCTCGGCCTCCGGCTGGCACAGTTCTCGAGGCTGACAAGGGACTTCACGGGTGGGGCAACGTCCCCTCCTGCCCCGGGGCAGCCTCTCGGACGCCCCGTCTCCCTAGCCATGCCGAAGCCCGAGTCAGCTCCAGCCCCTCTCACTTCCTCTCTCACTTCATGGAATCACCTTCCCGAGGTTCTTCCAGAATGGCAAAGGCATGGCGGCTATCTGCCGCAGGGCTCACACTTCAGCCGAGGGACGGAGTCCCTGGAAACGGTACTGGGGTTCTCTGTGCCGTCAG